CACATTTCCTTTGCCTTTCTCAAATATTCATATTTTAAGCTTATTTTTAATGGTTGTTTCTGAGCTGCCCATGAGTACATTCATCCCATTTTCCCATATAACAGAAGATCCCCTCAGAGTTTCATCTGAACTGTTGGCTCAGAGCACAACCCAAGAAGGGGCTGGGCGAGACGAAAGCTGTGGAGCAAGTCTGAGCATCTTCACCACAACCTGATGCTCATCTCCAGCCGCTCCATGGAGATGACCACAGCCAGGATTGGTTGAAGGATGGGAATCTCTCTCCAAGCAAACTGTGGATTGTCTCCAGCAGCTGAATGCTTGGCCAGAGGGTTTCCCAATCCATGTGGAAATGCTAAGCTGTCTGAGGAAGGGGAATGATGAGGCTGCAGCTCACCAAGGAGCAGAGAACAGGGCTCCCACTGAGAATTGGGACAACTCCAGTGGTTTACCCAAATTACGAAATGAAGAGGGCTTTGTGGCCGCTCCCCTGTGCCCCTTTATTCCAGCTCATAGTTGCTTTATCTCTCGAGGCGTTGACTCTGCGTTATCTCAAAACCAGTCCCTGGGCCCAAGCAGCTCCTGAATGTTATCGCCGCCTCTCCCACAAAAATCACCTCCAGCTCATGTTTGCTCTCAAAATTGCAAACACTGCTCACACCCTGCCAGCTGCTCACACCAGCCCAGTCTGCACAGGCCCAGACTAAGCAAACCCACCCTTCTCTTCCTGCCCCTCCATTGTTGGGACCACCTCAGGGTTCGTGAGTGTGGTCCACAATAAGAAGGGTTGAATGGCCTTTCTGGTATTCAGTTAGGGAAGTGGGTCATGGAAGGATCCCATCCCAGCTCAGATCCACACCACTGGGGAGGATCAAGAGGGTACTCTGAGGCCCCTCAGTAGGGACTTCAGAGGGTCCCTGGGATACATGAGGCTGAACTTGCCTACACATCTGTGAGCTGTAGCCCAGTCCCAGATCTCCACAGCCTTGCTCCTTTCTCTTCTGGTCCTCATCTCAAATCCCTTAGGATTTTTTTAACTTGTCTCTCATCCTTTCATGATGCACAAAACAAAAAATGTGACACATGTACTCAGCTCCCTGCTATCTCCTCCCCTGGTAGGATATATCAAGTCTCCAGCCTACCTGGACCACCTAAATCCTTCTGCATCCAAAACTTGACCTAAAAAGGCTTTAAGCAGGTTACAGCAGTTGCCTGCAGATGTTTCAAAATTCAGAGCTGACTTGGCTGGGTGAAAGGATTTCAAGCAGCAAACAGACCTTGAAGGAGACTTTGCCATGGCCATCACTGGTGGAGTATCATTACATGGCAAATAGCACTTCCCATCTTTACAAACTTTGGGCATGGAATGGTTCCAGAGAGCAGAGATGCTGTTGCCTTGGCCAGTCTCCAAAATCAGGTTATTTGCTATGGTTATGCCACAAAATGGTTGTGGGTTGTATGAAATGAAAGAAAACTTTGTCAGAGCATCAATATAGAAGGGAAAAATCCAGAGAGGGCAATATTGCTGCTTCCTACAGATGAATTCTCCTCGAGAAACATCTAATGCCCTGCTGCTACCCTGCACCAGACAAATTGAAATTTATGGAAAATCTGGGCAGTTGTGGTTGCATTCCCATGGGTTCTTTCCCTCTGAACACTCTAAGAACATGGACATTTTTATCATTTGGAGAAGCTTAACAAGTTGCTCTCAGACTGTCAAAGTCTGACATTGGAAAAGCAAGAATATTTTCCTATTTCAAGCCATCAACCCTTTGGTCCACAACAGAGAGATATCTCAGCCCTTCTGAAGGGGTAAAAAGGGCTTTGGACCTGAAGAAGAAATGTCCTTGGAAAAAATGATGAAGAAAGCTCCCTGAATAGGTGTGGGAAAAAGACACCGACACAGACACCAGGGAAATCACTGCCCATGCAATTGTACCTTAGCAAAGTTGGGAGAAACTGCAAAATTCTTCATTGAGCAGAAGTCATCTCATGATCTCCACAAAGGTGAAACTACCAGCCTTGCCCAGCTCAGCTCTTGCGATTTATCCCTTATTTGTGTGCTCAGTTTTCAACTATGTCCTCCAGACCATTTCATGCCAAAGCAAGGAGCAAAAAATAACAGCAGAAAGCAAAATCAGAACAAATACTTCCAGTCCTCCAGTGCCACATTTCACCAGAGAGTGACTGTTTATAGCTGAGCAGCCAGAGCCATAAACTGCCTGGGTAATTTCTCATTTCTATCTATTATCTTGATTTTTCCTCAATCTATTTGAAATTAAAATTCCCAACTAAATTGAAGATAGATGATGGGCAAGACAAGTTTAATCTTTGCTGTGGGAGCGAGGGATTGAGGTGAAAAAAACCTTGGAACCCAAAACTTCCTCCATGTGCTCGGGTCACCTCACTGCTTTGCCAGAGTCCTATTATTTTTATTCACTCTGGCACTATTGTTCCCAATATAAATTGCCATTGTCAGGATAATAAATAGGGGTTGATAATGGAAATGCTGACAAACCATTAACTCTGGGGTAGTTTGTGAGGGGGGTTTCATGGGGATCAAGGTGCCGCACACTTCAAATAAATGTGGGAATGATACACTTAAATATTATCTGAACAAATTAATAATAGGATTTTTAGCATCATTTTCCCCTCCTCTGATTGGGGGGCCACCTTTGCTGGTGGTGGTGGGGGAAGAAATGCCTATAGGAGACAGAGCCAATCCATAAAGCACAGCAGTGGGAGGTGAGGCTTTGCTTCAACTTCTCCAGAGACTGGAAGTGTCAGACAATCTATAACACGACAAAAAACGGGAGCAGGGAGGGGGGTGACTACAGAAGAACAAGTCCAGTTCATTAAAAAAGAAAGGGAAAAAATTCCACCTCGTTTTGTAGGGCAGTGCTGATAGCACTGGTCATGAAAAGGATCATTTGGGACAAAGTACATAAATATTCATATCCCCTCACACTGAGCCCACCTCATCTCCCCAGCACCACTGAGGGTGAGGACAGCAACTCTGGGGGCTCAAGCATCCACCACCTTTATTTTTTATGGCTGTCCTCTGTTCCTTGGGCTTTTTTATATCCCTTTTTATAGGTGACAGCAATAAACCTGGCAAAGACAAGTGGGAATTCCACTCTAAGATGAGGGTTTCATCAGAAACCCCAATTTTTAGGGTAGGATGCCCATTTCTGTCTGTGGCTGGGAGGGATCCACAGAGCTTGTGAAATGGAACTGAGGAATCAGGGAAACACAGAACCCCAGGATGGTTTGGGTTGGAAGGGACTTTAGGGACCACCTTGTTCCACCCCCTTCTGTGGGCAGGGGCATGGACACACTGATCTCCAGCAGCCCCTCTAAATGCAGGAAAATCCTGCTAATGAAGGAAATCCATCCCCTCAACATTCCCATTTTAGAATATTAATCCCCACCCAACCGACACCAGTCTGGAGGTTTTGGAATTGCCAAAAAAACATCCCCAGTTTTCTGCTTTTTTTTCTGTAGGGGTTGAGGTCAGTGACAAAAGTGTGGAAGAACAAACCCCCCAAATCTCAACTATTCTGATTTCTTCAAAGATTAGAGTAGTTCCCAGAGCTGAACACTTGAAAAGGTTAATTGCTTTTTTCGTTGAGTTAGTTTTTGTGATTTTAAGCTTTTTGAGCCGAAGAGATGAGGAAGAGCTGCAAGAACTGGAAGAACTGCAGTGTCTTGTGGGAGCATCTGTGCGGGGAGGGTTTGGTTTTTACACCTCAATTTACTCCTCACATGGTAAATTTAATCTCTTTCTAAATCATTAAGGTTAGAAAAGACCTATACGGTCAAGTCCAACGATTAACCCAGTGGGTTTTACCAACCTGTCCTGCCCTTTGCTCCCTGAGTTTTCCCTTGGAGAAGCTGCTCAGTTTTGCTGGCTGGGAGAACAGTGTGTGAATGCCAGCCCTGCACAAACACCCTTCTTTGGATGTCATCCTTCAGCTGGATGCCCAGGCAGGATCAGGCTCACATCCTTCTAGGAAAACCCATCTCTGTACCTGAGAGTCCAAGCAGGGACACTCCAAGCCACAGCTTCAGCAGGAGGACGATGCTCAGGGACATCCCTGGCACCTGTGTGGGGAAGCTGCAGCACAGCCAATGCCAGACACCAGTTGGGAATGAGGATCCAGAGAGGAACAACAAAAAACAGAGCTCAGGGGATGAAACACCTCCCCAGCTGGTGTCTGAGGCCACAGCCACACTGGGTTATACTGGTTTGATTTGTGCCTTCTCTTGAGAGAAGTAATTTTTGTGCACAATACCCTTTTCTGTGTGTTTTGGAAATGCCATTTTGCAGAAGTTCTGCCGTGATTTCCTGATATAATTGGTTTCTTCCCTCCATTCTGGCTGCATCAAAGCACAGAGGCCAGATGGCTATATGAGTCTAAGTGCCTTTTTTCTCACTGTATTAAGGCAAGAAGAAACCCCAGATAATCCTGTTGTAACCTAATTGTTTGCACCCCGAGATACTCTGGGCACAACCGGGACGGGAATTATTCCCGTGGCAGAAAAAACTGGAACCAAAGGAGAATTAGGGAGAAATCCAGCCTGGTGGTGTTAGCCCAAATAGAAATACAGTGAGCTGAACTGTGACATATCCTCTTAGGAAAGGATCTTCTCCAGTGACAAGACTATTAGTGGCTTCTGGTGGGAAGCCACATACAGCCACACAGCTGGGGCAGGAATCTGAGCCAGAGCCACCCACGGCACAGAGGACAAATCTCCCCATGGAGCAGCCTGGACAACACCTCAGGATGCATAATTACCCATAACGAGTTTTGCTGAACCTCAGCTTGGCCATGGGAGGGGGTTGCCTTGAGGGATCTCCAAGGACCTGTTTTCCAAACAGGGTGAGTACCTGGGGTCCTCTTTGGCTGAAATTTGGGATGCCCACTGAAAACCCTCCACTCCTCACGCAGAGATTGTGTCCCACCCCCTCCCACCTCTTCCCTGGCACCAGCAGGCCCTACCTGGCAGCCCCAGGATGGTGAAGTAGCCGCGGCACTCGGTGAAGCCGGAGCTCTCCCGGACACAGGTGCGCCAGAGGCCCTGGTAGTTGAAGACGGCCGTCACCGGGTTGTTGTACAGGTCCTGGGTGCTCCACTGGTCCATGCACGTGGAGGCGATGATGCCGCCGATGCCCAGGGCGGACACCACGAAGCCCATGGACTGGCAGATTGTCACCGACATGGTGCCAGGCGCACGGGAGCCGCGTCCTGGGCGCGCACCAGCCTCCGCAAGCCGGGTCTGGGGCAGGCAGCCAGGGCAACGGGGACTTTTAGCTGGAGGCACTGCCTACGTCACGCCAGCAGCCAAGAGAGCTCTGGGTGCACCATGCAAACCTCCCCTTGCCTTTATCTGTTTCGGTGAGATAATTTCCTCGCTCGGTACCAAGAGCCATTTGTTCCAGCTCGCTCTCTGTTTACCTTCTCCCTCCAGGCAGAGGCACGGCCGGACGGGACTAGCGGGTCCCTCTGGAGAGCTTCCACAGGAACGTCAGGGCACCTCAGGACACCAAGAACAGAGGGGCTTAAATCAGATGAAACATAAAAGTTATGGAGAGCCTAATCCTTTCCTGGCAAGGATGACGCTTTTGAGCCAAGTGGAGAGGTTCAGACTGGATATTAGGAAAAATGCCTTCATGGAATGGGTTGTCAAGCGTTGCCCAGGGAAATGTGGAGTCTCCATCCTTGGTAGGATTTCACAGATGTGTGGATGTGGCACTTGGGGACATGACTGATCTGGGAGTGCTAAGGGAACAGTTGGACTTGATGATCTTAGAGGGTTTTTCCAACCTAAATGATTCCACGATTTATTAGCATGGCTCTGTTTGGCTCAACCAAAACATTTAAGACAAGGTTAATGTATAAAAAAGGGAATCTTGTAGCAATGGGTGTTTGTGCACACCTCAGAAAGATTGGGCTGGGAGCCCACAGGAAAGGCAGCACTTGCTGAAGAGTGAAAGGTGTGAACCTGCAGTTTGTTGTGGGAGGACCAAGGGGAAAACAGATAAAACTGCATATCCTCATTTATTATTGTTTTATACCACTCATCCAAATAGGAATTTGGACTTGTTTCCATGGACAAAGGAGGATGGCAGAGCAGACCTGCTGTAAGACCAGAGTACCCTAAGAGACCTGGTCTTATTGCAGAAAATGCCTTTGTGGGGTAATGCCTTGTTTGCCCGTTCTGCTCCATCCCTCACTGCTTTTTTCCTAGCCCAGTTTCCCACAGGTACCAACCTGCCTGTGGTTGGAGAGGAACAGGGAATGTGCAGGAGAAGAGATGAGGAGCCCTGTTTCAGCCATGCCAGATACACATGGAGGGGTCAAGGAGGGGCCTTCAGAAGTGGGGCTCAGTGGGGTGACACTCAGGTGGTGGAAGTAAAAGGTCGGGAGGAAGCATGAAGGAGTGGACCTCTGTCACCTGGCTGAATTCACCCTTGCTCAAGGACCCTGGAGTCTCTTCTAGATGCTTGGCCTCAATGCTTTGAGGACTTCCCTGTAAAGCTGCTTCTGAGAAAGATCCAACCTGTTGTGGGAGAAAAATCTCCCAGAGATTATTTTGGTCCTGCACCTTTTTGAGAGAACCAAGCAAGGGACCGTGGGAAGATACCCAGTCTGTTCCCATGTCCAAAGCAGAGCAGCTCTACTCATGAAGCTCCAATGGAAATGTCACTCTCACGTAAGATTCCAGAGCCTCAATTATCAATTCAAAAAATGTTGTGTCTAAAACCGATGCTTGTTACACATCCTTCATTAAACTAATGCCCAATATTAAAGACCAGCCAAGGAAAAGACAACTCCAAACAGTTCTCAGGTTTAAATGGAACACTACCCTATTTTCCATTTTCTTCCCCAAAAGAACAGGACTGGTGATTCACATGCTTCACAACCAGCTCTCTCTCCCAGACATTTTTTGGTCCCAGTGACACCCAGTCCTGGTGCCACACCTCGCCTGCTCCATGTTGGGGCTGTTAATTACTTTCAGTATCGGTCAACAGAACTTAATCACGGAAAGCTTTCCCAGTATCACATGGCTAAATATAGAGCCTGAGTCCAGAGCACAAACACACTCCCTGTGTTTGTCACCACCGGGATCTCCTGGAGACGGAAAAGACTCATGGCAGCCAACGGTTGTGTTCAATGCATTAACTCAAAGGATAAATTCACCTTACATTCGATCAACTTGGAAGGCCTGGAAAAAGTGTCTCCACTTGGTACATGTTGATCCCTGGGTGGGGAATGCAAGATACCTGCAAAGGGACAAATTTTGTCCAAATTATCACCCATTTATTTCAAAATGTGCCAATGTACAGCAGCTAGAAGAGTAGGGGCTTGGTGTGTAAGCAGCAGTGTTCAAAATAAAAAATTTCCTAACTTTAAGAAAAAAGGACAGTTTTCTCCCCTGGGAGGATCTCACAGTGAGAATAGTTAAGGATTTAACTCCTTCAACCACCTAAACTTGATGTGACCTGTGTAACTCATCTCAGTTATCTCACCCAACAGGGACACAGCAAGGACAAAGCCTTCCCTGGGTGTTTTTCTAAGGAATGACACTGAAAGCTGCTCCAGGTCCCTCCAGCTGTGCCCACTGCCCATTGCTGATGCTGTGAGTGATTCAGTGGGAAATTACACCTGTTAAAAAGTAGAGTTTGTGCTGTTTTCTGGGATTTAAGTGATTTAACCTTGCTTTAGCCTTGCTGCTGCTGGTGGGAAGACCCCTCCTGGGGTGCTGTCTGGAGCCATCAGCCTCTTCTCACCTGCAGGGTCCACTCTCCCTCTAACACATCTCCTGACCACCTTCACAACCCCACTGAACCTCCTGCTTCCACCACAGTAGAGAAGATTTCTCTTGAATATGGGATTTGTCCCTGCCAAGGAGGACGCCTGGACTGCCTAATTATTTTATTCATAAGCCAGCCGTGCTTTCAAAGACATCTGGGTGACCTATCTAAAGCTAAGTGAATCCCTCACCCCGGAGGAGCCCTGCTTCTGCTGATCCCTCTGGGGAGCTGGGGTTGGGTGGCGGAGGAGCTGCCGGGGGAGTTCTTCGGAGCCGGACAATGAGGAACACATTGACAAAGTGTTCACATTATTGGCTGATGGGTCTGCATCAGTCACTCATTCACAAGCACAAGGTCTAAATTGCAGAACCAATTAACGGCACTAATAGCCCTTGCCTGAATTAATCTTTGAGACAAAAGAGGAGAGAAGTGGAAGAGCTATTAGCAAATCAAGCTGTACCATCCCTGCTTTATTGCAGGAATCTAAGTGTCTGTATTTGGCTATTATGAACTGACTGCAATTACAGCCCTCATTTAAAATGATTAAGTGGTTATAATTATTTTTCAATTAAAACTTAGATCTTCCATTTATACAACATTGCAGGCTTCAATTAAAGTCCTTTTTCCTTTTTTTTTTTTTTTTTTTTTTTTTTAAGGAAAAAGTACCACTGTGACAGAATACTCTTGCCTCTCTTCTGGCCATTGAGAGCCAAGTGACATGGTAATAACACCTTTGTTTGCATCTCTCCTTCCTGGCCTCCTGAACTTCTGCGTGGCCAAGGAGATAAACTGCCAAGCACAGCACCTGGAAAAGGTCAGGAAAAACGAGCTTGGAAAGCTCTCCAAGCCTCAAATACACCTGAAATACCTGAAACCCACCTGGAACGGTGGCTAAACCACTCTCAGGGTGAAGAAGTGCTGTATGAGTTATTTATAAAAGATTTGGGGAACTTGAGGGTTCTCATTTTGTCTGGGGCTTTTGGAAAGAGCAAAACCCCTGGAAAACACAGAACTAGGAGGAGTGTGGCAGCAGATGAGCTCAGGAGAAGTTTCTGCCTGGCCTGCTTTTAAACATTTGATGAGAGAAAAGTCACTCCTTCCAACATGATGTGACCTCCAGCACAAAATGGCACAGCCAACTTTGTTTCAGAAATGCTGAGTGCACCAGGAAATCTAGAGAGAGAGGATGTTTTGCAGGGAGTGGGTGGAGGGGGTGACTCAGAGGGGCAGGGTCAGACAGGAGGGTGCAGGCAGCAGTGTCACCCTGCTTGTCCCAACACATCACAACACCCACAGCTTCCTGCTCTCAGGGTCTTCAGGGAGCGACGAGCAGCACTTTCCCTGCACAAGCTCATGAGCTCCACCACGACAGCTCTTTGGACAAGTCCAAGCATGAGCAGCTTCTCAGGAAGGGCGAACTTCACACAATCTCTCAACTGCTTCTCCACTGCCTATCCCCAGGAGGAGCTGGGGGAAATGTGTGGGCAGGAGGAGCTTTTGTCCACCACAAAGGGCTCAGCAGAATCATGAATCACTGGTTGTTTCCCTGGTTTGCAATAAGGAGGAGCCACACCGAGGGTTTAGGGAAAGATTTAGGGAAAGCCCCTTTTCTATCCAACCTCAACTCAACTCAACTCTGCAGCCTTTCATGTTTCTCCCAAAGACTTTAAACTGCCCCCTACTGAAAGTGCTCAGCTCAGGTGCATTAACAGGGGGTTCCAGGGGCTGCAGTCCCCAGAACTGGCGCCTGGACACACTTACAGACCGAGCTGGGAGGGCTTTGGCCAATGCGCCTTCTCTGGATCATGGAATCACAGAATGGTTTGGGTTGGAAGAAGCCCATCCAATTTCATCCCTTGTCATGCTCAGGGATACCTTCCACTATCCCAGATTGCTCCAAGCCCCTCTGACCTGGCCCTGGACACTTCCAGGGGTGAGGCAGCCACAGCTTCTCTGGGCAGCCTGTTCTAAGGTCTGTTGGCGTTTGGGAACAAGAGATTTGGGAATAAATCAAGTCACTGGAGGGAGACAATCCAAACAGACACATCTACGAGCAAAGCCTAAAGCCTGTCAAGAAAGAACAAGGACCTGGCTGCAGATCCAGGACTTTGTGCTACTGACACCATTACAAGGTAAACACCTGTGCAATTAACTGCAATTAATACATCCCTGAACAGCAGATCTCCTGGAACAGCGCTTTCCAAGGAAGAATGTAAGTACTGCCCAAACTCATGTGTGTATTTAGCTTTAACTTCATGGCTCTGAGTGACAACAAGAGTGGTGTGACCCAAACAGTGCCAGTATCCTCGATGGAGCATGGAGGGATAGTCCCAGGGACAAGCTCCTACAAACACACAGGGCCTTTCCATAAACTCCTTGTCTGGAAATGGATGCTCCTGCTGCCAGCCAGCCTCATTTCCTTTCTTGTTTGGATGGACAGGCATTTTCCACCTGAAACAATTTATTGATCACATTATGTCATTT